GGATCTGGGGGCCCCCTGCCCAGGCCAGAAGAAGAACTCGAGGAGAACACAACTTTCTTACTTCAATCGTTTGATTCCGAAGCTGTCACAAACTGTCCGTTTCCCTAACGGCCCATCCCGAGAACAGAAGCAGATCCTCACTTGGTCTCTTCACCCTGCGACCGATCCACGTGATCTGGGGTGTCTCTGAGAACGCGACCATAACTGAGCCCTGCGCGCTGACCCGAAGCAAACACAGCATCCTGACCAGGGCCAGAGATAGGATCCGAAACATACCACCACCACCACCACCCCAACCCGCCATCAGAAACACAAGCCACCGAGCGGGAATCGGCCGAGCGAACAGCCATGAACCCAAGAGTACCCCCCCGGCCTCTGCAGTGGTCTGAAGACTCTTCCCCTGAAGCTTGGGAAGTCCCTGAACCAAAATGGCTTCGGTCATTCGGGGCCCCCTTGACCAGGGGCGGGCAGACCGGGGCTGGGGCCCCGCATTTTGCACTTGTTCCGGGCGCGCAAGCCCCGTCGCCCAAGGGCCCTCTCGCGCGCCCAGGCCGGGCGTTCAACGCGATTCCCACACCGCCCCCGATATCCCACAGGGGCGGCTCGTGGCTGGACGAACCCACGCGCCGCAGAAACAAAAACTGCAGTGCAGACAAACACATCTGCATTGCAGATTTTCAAATGTCCCGCAAAAGCGCTGCGTAACCAAAAATTGCAGCGCAGAGCGAATCCTGCAACGCAGAAAAATCTACATCGGAAAGGTCATGCGGCCGCAGCGCGGCTCACCGAGACCCGACGCGGTTCGCTGCGCGCGGCTTGCGAGAAGCTCGCTTGCTCCGTTACGCGGCCGAAAAAGCTGCCGCGGCAAGGCGGATCCGCTCCGGGGGCCTCATTAAAGGGCACGAGAAGAAAGTTCGGCTGCACGTGAGAGAGACCCTGGGCAAGAGTGACCTCCGGCGCGCGGCTATTCAGGGGGCGCGAGGGGGCCAACACACAAGCGCGCAAGACGCCGCTATCGCAGCGAGCGCGGCGATCGGGGGGCCCCAGCGAGCGCGCACCAAAGGTCACTCCGGCGAAGGGCCACTCGCACGCCTAATCGAAAAGCCCACCCCGGGCCAGCCAGCCCCGGGCCTGCGCCCCCGCGAGTCATTCCCAGACAACTCACACAGACATGACTCGCAACGCGATTGTTCTGCCGGCTACACTGCCCGTCGCAATCCCCCCCCCTCGCGCGCGCACGCCTTGCGACGCACGACGCGAGAAGAGAAAAAGGAGCAGAAACGAAAAACACAAGGACCCATCCTCATCGACTCCACCTTGCCCCCAATGACGCGATAAGGGTTTGGCGACGAGGCCGCAACGGAACTGATGGATGCGAACTCCCGTTCGTCATCGCCCTGGCGCAACTGGACCTGGCTTTCGCCGACGTCACCAGCGTGCGCTGCCATTGCCGTCTTGGGCTCGCCCGCGCACTCAGGGCCCCCCGACCAGTGGCCTGTTTGGTCGCGGGTCTTGCACCTCGAGCGTTTCTTGATCTCCCGGGGCCGCTTCCTGCGATCTCCCAGGGAAGGGCCCCCCTTGCCGCCTCCCTCGGGCGAACAGGGCGCTCTCTCCTTCGCCCTCACTCACCCCCTCGGTGCCGGGGTTCGCGACCAGGCCATCTTGGATCGCATCAGAGGCTTCTTCCTCCGCGCACCCGGCCCCAGCCATCTCGTCGACCACCTCGAAGTCGAGCTCGCTGCTTTTCTGAGCGGGGGCCCAGCGAGCATGCGATTCTCCGTCGCCACAGGTGCGTTCATCAACGCAGTCGCCCCGGGCCGCGTCGCCCAAGCCGCGCCCTGGCGCATAGCCGGACGCGCAGCACCCGCAGGGGCGCAGCTCCTCAGGGCAGTGCTCCTCCTGCTCGGAATACCCGTCATTGGCAGTATAGAGGGCGCGCTGCGGCCTGGAGAAGCGCACCATGCCCTTGCCCTTGCCCTTGCTCCTGCTATGGTAGCTGGGTCTGGGCTGAGTCCACGTCGAATTGGGTCATCTAACAGACTCACCCCTGCCCTTTTCTGGCGGATGTGTATGCAACCGTGCTGGAGGATCAAGACGCCCATGATTTTGTGGAAGGACGTCACATCCCCTGTGAATGTCAACACCATCAGATTCTCCGAAGGCGAGAGGCCTGCATGGTCCAAAAGGAGGGAGCCAAACATATCGTCACTCATCAAGACCTTAGGATTTAACTTGGAGACAAGTTTACACCAACGCTTCCTTCGGGAGGTGCACGAGACCATCGACTCACCGTTCTGCCGAGACAGTGGTCCACATGGTGCCTGCCCCACCTGGAACAGGATCTTCGCTTCCTGCGCCTCTATGGAGAAGAATGAAATGCGAATCGCCAGCACCAGCTGATCGATCCCATTCGGAGTCAGAAGCACGTCCTCGCCGATATCCATGGTAAAATCGAATGCGTCACCTCCGAGGCCTTCTGATACAACCTTGTCGACAGCTGCGGTGACCACGCGCTGCCGTGGCACACCCGTCCCTTGACCCACTGAAGCCAAGGCGGCACTCATGCGCACGTCAGTGCGGAATTCCCACTCGTGGAAGTTGTTCACCGTTCCGTCGTAGATGTAGGAGCCAGTCTTCGTCTCAGACCGCGTCAGCGCGTCGGCGCTTGACCAATAGCGAAAGGAAGAAAGTGCCATAGTGCAAGGCACAGTCCCCTAGCGAGGGAGACTGCCAGTACGGAAAGTAAAGAGATGTAGTGCGACACTCTCTGATGAGACGTGCGCGCAGTGGTACGATACTGGGATCGTGTGGCAGCTCCGCTACCAGTGTGATTGTGGTGCGTTTTAGCACAATGACAAAAAAGGGCCTCTAGAGGTCAAACGGCAGCGAGTGGCGCATATACTCGTCAGCATCAGCATCATCATCAGCATCATCCGAATCCACATCGTTATTACAATCATCATCATCATCATCATCATCATCATCATCATCATCATCATCATCATCATCTCATCATCATCATCATCATCATCATCATCAACATCATCATCATCACCATCACCATCGGCATCACAAGAAGCATCATTATAATTACCATCGCCATCATCATCACCACCAGCACCATCAGCATCATATCATCATCCTCATCATCATCGTCGTCGTCATCGTCATCATCATGAGTAGCATCAGCATCGTCATCAGCATCTTCGTTACCAGCATCGGCAGTACCATCGGCACCATCATCATCATCATCATCATCATCAGAATCATCATCGTCGTCATCATCAGTAGCATCACCGGTAGCATCACCAGCATCATCGGCACCATCATCAGCATCATCAGCATCATCGTCAGCATCATCAGTATCATCGGCACCATCATCAGTACCATTACCAGCATCATCATCATCGTCGTCATCATCATTATCATAATCATCATCATGAGCATCTTCTTCTTCTTCTTCATCATCATCATCATCATCATCATCGTCATCCGAATGAACAGCATCAGCATCAGCATCAGCATCGTCGTGGTGATAATCAGCAGCATCAGCATCAGCATGAGCATCACCATCGTATTCATCATCAGCATCAGCATCACCATGGTTCATCATCACCATCATCATCATCGTCATCATCCTCGACAGCATCATCATCATCATCATCGTCGTCATAATCAGCAGCATTATGATCATCGTCATCATCAGCATCAGCATCGTCGTCATCATCATCATCAACATCATCATCATCAGTATCATCATCATCATTGTCATCATCATCGTCATCACAATCAGCAGCATCAGCATCATCATCATCATCATCAGCATCAGCATCACCATCATAATCAGCAGCATCAGCATCACCAGCATCATCATCATCACCACCATCATCATCATTGTCATCGTCATCATTACCATCATCATTTATCATAATCATCATCATCATCATCAGCATCATCATCATCATCATCATCATCGCCATCATAATCAGCAGCATCATCATCATCATCGTAATCATAATCATGAGACCGATGCCTTTTTACATTGCCACATCAATTTGAGAGGTGCATTTGCAGGCTTGTGCGAGATAATTGGACTCTTGCAAAGATACAGGCGAGCACAAGCCACTGAGGCTTGTGCGAGATAATTGGACTCTTGCAAAGATACAGGCGAGCACAAGCCACTGAGACTTCACACTCGGGAGGGAAGGGAGGGAGACTAGAACCAAAAAGGCTATACTACAGAGCAATATAGAATGCGGACTCAACTGGGAGCAAGCTCTGGAGATGAGACCGATGCCTTTTTACATTGCCACATCAATTTGAGAGGTGCATTTGCAGGCTTGTGCGAGATAATTGGACTCTTGCAAAGATACAGGCGAGCACAAGCCACTGAGACTTCACACTCCAAAACCCCAGATGCAAGCGCAGCCGTGCTCTCGACAGTGCAACTAAAGAGCTGGGGCGACGATATTGGCCAGCAGTGAGCACAGCTCGAGAGGATACGGCTGCGCCATGGCTGTGCGCCAAACTCCTTTGGCGTCTTTCCCCTCCAGTATCGCGTGCGAGAGGCCAGAGCACGAGCATACAGACTTGGAGGGTCGGCACCGCGGCAAGGCAAGCGGTGGCCAGTTCACAAAAAGGATTTTGGTGGCCTTCTTCCAAGGCATCCCAAATTGGCAAAAGTCTGTTACCTGCATGTTGGCCGTTGGCAGGAGCGAAAGCGACCTGACTTCTTTGGTGAGCCAGACCCGGCTTGTGGCTGGATTCTCCAAGGCACAAGGGCAGCCACACTCCGCTGCCAGTCTAAAAATTCTCGCCATCTGCTTCAAAAGTAAATTATGCAAACGCACTTTGCCCGCATCACCGGGCGAGAGATCAGGCAGCCCGCACAGGTGGGCATCATCATCTCTAAGCGGACCTGGCCCTCGCCCGTCCCAGCGCCTGGCTCTAGACCATGTCTGACAAGGAAGTCCAAACCAGACGAAACAGATGGCACGGTCCACGATCTCTTTCTCCAGCTTGCGTAAAGACTCAGTCCTCAAAAAATCTGCCGCCTCGCCTTGCTCGATGTCCCAGGCCTCTGCTGGGACACCGGCGCAGGCGAGAGCTTGCGAGAGCCTCCCACAGCCCGAGAAAACCTCGACGGCCCGGCATCCCTGGACGAGGCGGCGGCCCGTGGGAACAAAGAGGTGTGGAATGCGTCCTTCAACTTGTCTAAAGCCAGGGCACCTTTCTTGTTCGTGTCGTCCGAGACCTTTGCTTGTTGCTGGAGGAGGCGCCCGTGGGCTTCGTACCGCCTCACCGTGCGATCGGAGAGCCACCGACCCCGCGCCTTGACGCTTGCCAACGAACGTCTCTTGAACAGGATGTCGTGACTGGGGCCGGAGTGCCTCATGTGGTAAGCGGTGATCTTGAGCTTCTCCAGTCCGATCTTCTTGGCCGCCCCCAACATAGCCTGGCCGAGGAGCGGGTACTTGAAATCGAAGAACAGCCTGTCTGGTTGCCCCTTCCTGAGTCCTGCCAGCAAGTCTCCCAGCCATGGGAGGTCGGCGGAGTCCAGCACCAGACTCTCCTCGAAGAGGTTGACCTTGGAGGGGTGCTGATCCAGCTCCTCGTGCATATGCAGGCTCCACAGGGCCGACGCAGAAGTACGCGGCGGGGAGACCAGGGCCTTCTCCTTCAACCTCATGGCCTCCCCCGGCCGCAGGTATGCGACCCACATCGTGACCAGCGCCAGAGCCATGAGAGGGGACCCCATGTGTATCATCTCGAGCCACAGCAAGCCGAGCAGGTGCAGCGGGATCGGCGGCCTGGTCCTGCCCGGCTCGAGCCTCCTCCAGCCCCGGAGGGCCTTGCGGGCCCGCGGGAGCACATTCCTCCCGGCCTTCGAGTAGTCGGGGTAGAAATACATGTACGCCGCCAGCACCTTGGATCCCTCCGAGACGTCGTGCCCCGTCGACCACATGTGGTTGATGTAGTCTGTGAGCACGAGGTCGGGCTGCCTCTCCAGCTTGATCGACAGCCGGTTCTGAGCGATCCACTCCTGGAAATCCGAGTGGCGCTGTTCGTAGTCCTTGTACGTCTTGGTGCTCACCGAACTGGACTCGAGGAAGGTGTCCCGCCCCTCCACGGCCTTGGCGCGGGCGCTGCCCACCAGCGAAGCGCGGGAGGCCGCCCGGGCCTCTCTCGTGGCGTCCCCAGAGGCGAGCGTCGTCCTCTTCGTCCAGCTCCAGCCACTCCGCGAGCGAGACGGTGGCTCCTGCGCCGGGCGGAGGGTCCGCTGCACAGGCCGAACGCCGGCGCGGCTCCCAGAGGCGGGAGCCCTCGTCGGCATGGTTGCTCTCTGAGGGGATCCAGCGGTACACGTAGCGCGACCCCGAAGCCACTGAAAAGGCTGCGGTCTTACGGCATGACTTGTTGAGAGAAAAAGACGACGACCTGCCCTTCTCCATGGCCAGCACAGTCCCCAGATTGTCCCCAAGTAAGAGGTGTCGCCTTCGAAAACCATAGAGGCCCCTCGTAGTATGGCGAACCCCAGAGGCCATGCCGACACCCTCAAGCACGGAGATGGGGCCATCACGACCACGAAACCTTGAGGCATACTGTAGCTTCCAGTCTTCCTTGTCGAGGTATCTCGGGTCGATCTCGGCGAAATCGGGGTTCGGCTCGTACGTCGAAAAAGCTTTCGGCTCGACGATGGTCTTTACGGTGTTGACGTCACTGAAAGGGTCGCCGAAGGCAGGCAGGGCAGCATCGCGAGGCGCAGTCGCAGATGGCAGACGACTCCGATACCTCCACTTCTCCCGGACAGACCCGTACTCCTTGATGACCTCCTGAGGCCAACGCGTAGCAGCAACGGCAAACCCCGACAGGCACGCATCGGTAGCAAGGACCCTCTCCGACCACTCCAGGCATAGATCCGACATGGTGACCTGGATGAGATAAGATATCTGACGAGCCTCGTGAGCGGCCTCCGTCCAGAGACGTCCTGGGGCGGCCCCCAACTTAGCAGCGAAGTCATACATGCGCCTAAATACCGAGAGGCCCGGGCGGAAGATGAGAAAGGCGGCGATGCAGTGACCGATGAACCGACTCAGCGCCAAACCTGTAATCCGAGGCCGTCGCGCCAGAGCTCGGGCAGCGGCGGCAATTCGCTCCCTGCGCATCGGATCGACCCAGACCTTCATAGCGCCCCCGTCGATATAGTAACCCAGAGCGGTGAACTGCCTAACAGGACCGAAGACCTCGTGAACGACAAAGCCTGACTTGACGAGCTGGACGATGACGGCATCCCGAGTCTCCCTCGCCAGTTTGGGGCACGTCGCAAGAACCATTAAGTTATCACAATACACATTCAGAACCGGCAGATCCGAGCGCCATTCAGGAACAGGGGCCCCCTCCTCCATGAGTCTCGAGGGCGCCCAGGGCAGAGCTAGACAGATCTGATGTATGTGGACACGCTGCGCCAGCCACATCGCCCAAGTCCAGCCCATCGGCACGGAGCGAAGACGAGGTCTGACCTCCAAAAGGCCATGGAGTGCCCCGCCCAAAGCAGCGGGGACACCCCACTCGAGCAACAGAGCGCCTGGCACAGGCGGCAGCGCAAAGAAAGGTCGTAGATCAGGCGGCATGGCGAGCCAAAAGAAATAGTCCGCGATGTCGGAGCCAGCACCCCACATGCCGTGCTCCTGCAGCTCCGTCGGGATCTGCAAACCTGCGAACGCCGAGCCACTCGCCATGCGGATCTTGGGCGGACTGCGCCAGCGGATGTTGGCCACCCGGCAGTCCCACACGAGCCGTTGCTTGCCCGACTTCTTGCGTACGAAGAACGGGTAGACGGTCTCGAAAGCGTCCGTCCCGAAATCCACAAGGTTGGACTCGAAAAGGTCACGGACGAACTGGTAGTATAGCATCCTGTCCCTCTTGAGCCTCACGTCCATGTAGGGCTCGATATGTGCCCGCTGGTCCAAGATGGCTCCCATCTCGACTGGCGAGCGGAGCATCGCGGTGGTGAAGCCGTCGACTACGCCTCTGCCGGAGTCGTCGATGACGTCCGTAAGCCACGGAGGAGAGGCCCCCGCAGCTGGCATCGAGACCCGGCCTCGATCATACGGCTCCACGCTGCAACTGGAATCCCCCCCAGCATAGGAGAACTCCGATCCACAAAGCGCCTGTAGGGCTTCGCGGTCTTTGTACAATGATGTGCAAGTAGGCCTTGCCGCCAAAGTAGACAAAACTTGGCCGTGGGCAGCACGATGGGCAGCCGTAGGCCTGAAGGAAGAGATGGCGGCCGGAGAAGCTAAAACGTTGAGCGTCTCAACGACCCCGTTGGCGAGTAATTGCCTCGAACGCCTCCTCGTCATACGCTTGAAGACGGTGGCAGAAAGCCCGGGATCAGGGCGCTCATCAACCTCGACAGCTGGCAGAGGAAACAAATCACGTTGACGACTCGCCTCCACATACCGATCAAAATCTGCCGAAGCTCGGTCCTCTGGCACAGCCCCGCGGGTGGACCAGGCCCGCGCGCCAGAAGGCAGCATGGTCATCCGCCCCCCTCCCCGTCGGCCGGGGCGAGCCCTGCTTTGCCTCCTCTGCCTCCACCGCCCTTGCCTCCTTTGCCTCCGCCTCCTCGTCCACGTCGCTCCTCAGCAGCCTTGCGCGACTCCTTGAGGATGGCAGCCTCGTCCCTGAACTTGGTTGCCACATGGGCCGCCAGCTCGGGCGCCACTGATGCAGAGGCGGTGGCTGGCCCCCAACCCATGAAGTGGTCCGCACCCGAGAAGTCCGGCGCGGACGCCGAGTGCGCGTAAGCCGACTTGATGAGCTGGAGTCTCCTGATGACAAGCTCCATGGACTTCAAGGCCGGCACATTCAACTGATCGTGGCACACCGCAGCTGCCAGCACCTGCGACAGCACGAAATGCTCGTGGATGGCCCGATCGCCCTCGTGCAGCCTGGCCTTGCGGAGCCAAGCTTCATGGGCAGCCTGGGGCGTTGGTCCGTTCTCTGCCACGTGGCGACAGAACCAGGAAGCTGTACGCGGGCCCTGCAGGTCAAGTCCCCCTGCGGGCAAAGTATCATCCTGCCGTTGCACCCCCTCGCTGAATGTGACCCTGCGGGCCCCGCTCGAGTCGAACTGCACTGGCTGCACTCGTAGGTCATCATAAGTGAAGCGGTACACCTCGGGGCGAGTCAACTGCCGCAGCGCGACGTAGCCTCCTTTCCATGGCATAATGGCCCTGTCGTCCGCAGAGATGGTGTCGACCGTCAACTCCACCTCGGTGCCCTTGGCCAAATCCTCGGCGTCCTCAGCAGCTACCCACACGAGGTCCGCACGGGGGGCCGGCACGGCGATGCCCGCCGCCTGGACCCCCTGCCCGGGGAGCCGGGGGTCGGCCAGCCCCTGGGGCGGCGGCGGCCCCGCACGAGGCACCAGGTCTTGTCCCCCGACTCGGCGTACGCGTGGTATCTCGACAGGAGCTGCCAGACCGAGGGCCAGCGCAGCGTCGAGGACCTGCTGGCGCAAGTCATCCACTGTCGGCACGTCCCTGAAGCGATAGATGGGCGCTCCCTGCAGCGCGGGCGGGGTATCCCCAAGACCAGTAGCTCCTCGGATCCTCTCGACGTCATCGGAGGCGGGCGAGCAATCCTCGATGTACGCATCACCGTCAGGGGTCAGCATATAGTAGTGCCCCGCCTCAGTGGGATGGACTGCCAAAACGATCCTCTCATGCCACAGGTCGGGCCCATCCACATTGTACTTGACCAGCAGCACATCACCTAGCCTCGCCATGGCGACGAGCCTTGATCAGCGCGAGCTGCTTCTGAGCAAGATCCTGAAGAGTTCCTCCGGCCTCTGCCGGCTGAGTAGCCTGGGCCGATGTCCCCGCCTGAGGGGTACGCCTCCTGGAAAATAGCCACGTGGGCATTGCTACCAAAGCACCACAGAGCCAGCCCGCTCCGAAGAGGGTGAGTCCCGCGAGCAGGTACGCAAGGTGCCCGATGACGCCCTTGCCCTCCGACGAGCACTCCACGTGGATCGGAGGGACGTTTACCTCGGGACAACGCAGCTCAACCTGCGTCGGTGGCGGCGCTGGACAGGAAAGATTGACCACCGTATCGTGCCGCGCGCAGACCGCGGCGGAGATGGCAGACTGGAGAGATAGATCGACCAGTCGGGGCAAGAAGGTGGAAAGCGGCTCCCACATGCAGGGAGAAAAGACTAGAACCAAAAAGGCTATACTACAGAGCAATATAGAATGCGGACTCAACTGGGAGCAAGCTCTGGAGAGCAGCATCAGCATCAGCATCAGCATCAGCATCATCATCAGCATCAGCATCATCATCATCATCATCATCATCATCATCATCATCATCATCATCATCATCATCATCATCATCATCATCACCACCGGCCGGCCCCTCGGCACTGGCTCCCTCCCGTTTGTCCCCAGCCGCCCCCCACCGGTAGGCACGCCATCACCGCCGCCTGGCAGGAGACGGCGGTCACGACGCGCCCGCTCAGCTCCTCGGCGGCGGCGGCGAGGCGCCCCAGGGCGCCCGCGAGGCACGTCGGCCGCGCGCCCGCGCCTGGCTGGGGTCGCCGCAGGCGTGCCGGCCGCAGCGGCGGCGGCGGCGGCGGCGAAGACGACGACGACGCCGACGCCGACGCCGAGACTCCTCGCCTCCCAGACGGGCTTCGGCTGGCACAGGCCGAAGCCGGTGAATCTAACCGAACCGAATCGAATCGGAATCGCTGCCCCAGTGGGCGAATCGAATCGCATCGTATCGGATCATAGGCGGCCCTGCTCTCTGTCGAAAGCACAAATGGTTTATGTGGAAGTGCGGACTTCGAACAGCGCTGCGACCCCCCTCCGAAATCCCCTGGCGACAGGTCAACCTGCTGCCGCGGCCGCGGCTCCGAGGATGTCGCGGGTCAGAGTCAATACAGTCAGAGCGGCTTTCGGGACCTGCCAGCAGCAGAGCGATACAGTCGTGCTAATACCGTAAGGATCGGCAAACAAGCAACGAAGTCCCTTATTTGTCCCAAAAACGCCTGGGTGCACCAAGAGCGCAGGAGAAACGACCATGGCAGGACCTGGGGATCAGCGGGCCCCGTCCGAACAAGAATTGTTTTTTGCTTCAACGCCTTCACTGTATGTTACCCCAGGCGCCGAGGTGAAACACTCCTTCCTGGTCCAGCGCCGACAGGCTCAGCAGCGGCACTCGGCAAGAACGACCTCAGCCAAACCGGCGTGCTGGATCTGCCAGCTGAAGAGCCACGTGCCGACGCACAGGCACGAGCAAAGCATACCGTCCAGGCCCCGGCCCCGAAGCCACGGTTTTACAATCGCACTCGGCCACAACGGGGGCAATCCCACCAGCCCTCTCGGCGCAGGTGGTTTGGCGAGTTTGCTCGGCTAGCTCTCTTCTTCCCTCTACCTCTACCCCTACGCCCCTCATCCTGGGTCTGGGCGGAAAGCTTCGCGAGGGGGTAGAGCGTCCAAGATTGCCCAAGCCATAGGCAGCCGAACATGGTCTGCAAGACGGCCCAAGATCGCCCAGGATGGCCCCCAACATGGTTTCAAAATGCTCCTAGAGACCCCAAGATCGCTTCAGGACTACTCCATGTGGCCAGGAAGCGTCGCAAGGAGATCCCGAAGAGCCCCAAAAAATGATCAAGATTGACTGAATGTGTCGCCTTTTCGCATCCAATGGGCCTCTGAAGCCTCAACATGGTCCCAAGATCATTGCAAGAGAGGCCCACAAGAGGTCGAATACAGCCCCTAGAGCGACCAAGAGAGACCCAAGAGCTTCCCAAAAAATAAGGCTCCAAAAAATCGCAATTCGGGCCCTGACGGAACAAGGCTGATCATGGACCCCACCTTTTCTTTGATCGATGCCCTTGAACATGGCCCCAAGAGGGCCCCCCTGAGAGGGACCCAAGAGGGCTCCGAAAGTCCGAAGGGCTCCAAGAGGGCTCCATGAGGCTTCAGAGACGTTCCCGAGAAGCTGTCAAACCCAAACATCCGAGAAGGCCTTCACGGTTGACTCCTGACGTCGTCCTCCTCCTCCTCCTCCTCCTCCTCCTCCTCGTCCTCCTCCTCCTCGTCCTCCTCCTCCTCCTCCTCCTCCTCCTCCTCCTCCTCCTCCTCCTCCTCCTCCCTCAAGCAATATCGGCACGAGCGCATTTTGCATCGTACCGAGGCCTCTCACTTCCGCGCAGTGCTTGAGGGGCAGCGGGTTTCTCACTCTTCCAGTTTTGTAAGCAGTCCCGCTGGCGAAGAGAGGTTCGTCCAGCAGCAGCCATGGCACGTGCGTGGTCAACTTGCAAGCGTTGCAACACGTGCGAGTACAATAATGTGAAATCCGAGCTGAAGTGCCGCAAGTGCAACGCCCCCGTGAAGCTGCATAAGGCACGCAAGCTCAAGGACCAGCAGATGGACGACCAGCAGCCCAGCCTCCAAGGGGCGATGAAGGGCAACCTCACGGTCTCCAGTCTGCTGGCACAGGCTAGCAAGATCGAGCAGGACCCCGTGAAGAAGAGGGAACTGCAGGAGCAGGCGCGCCAGGCGGAGCAGTCGGCCAAGTCGACGGCGGTCCCGCCGCTCGAGCGCCCAGCAGAGGCAGTGAAGCGGGCGGAGGGCGCCTGGCGGGATGCATCGCTTGGGTATGAGCAGTCCGCCGCCCGCGTGAAGAGGCGCCGCGGGAACTTGGACCGCGCCCTCGCCAAGGAGGCGGAGAACTTGCGGGCGCTCGCGGCCGCCGAGATCGGCAAGCGGGCAGCGGCCACGGCGCTGGCGAAGGAGCTCGGCATCAACACGAGCGGCAGCGGCAGCGTCAACGGCGGCGGCCCCGCCAAGGCGGAGTTCGTGGACCTCTCGTGGGACACGGAGTTCTTCGCCAGCCTCGACGACGTTGAGTGCGAGCAGGCGGAGAAGGACGCCCTCAGGAAGTTCGAGGCCGACCTCACCGCCACCAAGTCGGATCTGGCGTCGAAGTCGGCCGACATCGCCTCCTCGAAGGCGAAGAGCAGCGAGATGAAGCAGGCCATCCACGAGCGCATCCAGAAGAAGCGCAAGACGGAGGCCATGAAGGACGGCAGCGGTCAGACGCCAGCCGCCGCCTCGGCAGCCGCAGGGGGCCCCCCAGCGGGCACAGCAGCCTCGGCTGCCACGCCGACGGCGGAGGCAGGCGCGGCGGGCCCGTCCGAGGAGGCAGTGCAGGCCGAGATGCAGCGCATCAAGCAGGCGAGAGAGGCCGCTGAGGAGGCCGCGGCGCGCATGCAGGAGCAGGCGCCCGCGGCGGCAGCGGCGGCCGCGTCGGCATGAGTGCCAGCTCCCGCCGAGGGTTCGACGGCACCTTCGGCCTTGTCAGGGAGTCGGCCGTCGGCACCAGACGGAGCTCAGGATGCCACCGCAGGTGCCCTACCTCATGAAGCAGATCACGACGCCGACGGCGTCATCACCATGTTCTTCAGCAATGCCACCTGTCTCGGGCCCAAGTCTTGGGGCCACATCGGGTGCAAAGAATTCTTAGACAAGTACGACCTCGTAGGGATGGTCGAGATTCACGCGGGATGCCACTCCAGGGCGCAGTGGCCGAGGAAGTCTCGATCAATGAGGTGGAAGTACTTGGACAACGCAGCTCGCAGCACTGGACGGGGCAGTTCAGCAGCAGGGGCGGCCAAGGCGAACGAAAGAGGGGAGGTCCTTCTCGCGCCAGGCCATCGCAACGTTCACAGGCTGTACGGCAAGACGTCTGAGGCCGCCGCGTTCTGCGCCGACGGGTCCAGTTCTTTCGACGGGTTTCTCCCCGCCGTGGCTCGCACGCAAGGTTATAGTACCCTAATTATCCTTTTTTATGCGCACCCATCGCTCGGATTCACGGGCGCCAATGCGCAGAGGTATGCGCGTCTCGGCGCGCTCTTGCAGTCAGCGCAGCCCCCTTGGATCGCGCTGGGGGACTTTAACCAGGATGTCTCGGCTTTTAGGCGCTCTGCCTTCGTGAAAAGGGTGCACGGGCACATCCGCCAGGCCGATATTGAACACACCTGCGTCGGGAGTGCAGGTAGCTCACACATCGATTTCCTGATGGCGCCCGAGAGCGGGCTCCCATACATTCACAGTTTGTCAGCCAGAACGGACGTCCCATGGAGCCCGCACTGTGCGCTCGAGCTTAGGCTGCACGGCGCGGGCGGGCAGCTCCTCACTCGTTCCCTCATCTCCGCCCCTCGTTTGCCTCAGGCCCATCGGCCCTCGACTTGCCACACAGAGGGATCTAAGGCCAGCAAGGCTCGCGCTCAACAAAAGGAGCGGGCGCAGCAATCACAGGGGCGTCTACGCAGCGAGTGCGACAATCTTTTTTCCGATTTACTCGCCAGGGACAAGTCCGAGGGCTCCGAGACTTTCGTTTCCCAGGGGTCCGAAATGTCTGACCCACCTGGCCTCGAGGTCGGTTTTTCTGCTGGGGACTGCCCCGAGTGGGAGCGCGACCCTGGGGGGCTCGAAGAGTGGGAAGAAGAGGACCCCTGGGCTTCGGAGTCGCGCTTTCACCCTGTCAGCGTTCTTGCGGAGACCAACAGCGTCAGTCTCGCGAGCTCCGAGTCAAGCAAAAGCAGCTCTGAATTGGGGCCCGCTTCGAGAGTGGGTGACGCTGGAGTGGGGTCGGGGGATCAGCAGTCCACTTCAGCCGAGCCGCCAGGGGAGGGGGGCCCCAGCACGGCTGGGAGTCAGGATAATCTCACCTGCTCCGCTGCTGCTGCCGATGCCGTCCTCCCCCCTTTCGCTCTCCCACCCTCTCTGTGGGCGTCGCACTCGGCTCAAGCCGTTTGGCACTCGCAGTCGCTCTCAGACGCCTGGCGGCCAGCGCAAGATTCCATTGCTTTCGCCGCAGGCCGCCAACACATACTACCAGTCAGCAGCTGCTTTGCCCGCTGGATCAGCATCGCGGAGTCGGCTATATCTGAGCACCACGGGCTTTCACCTCCCCTTCGCTCGCGAGGGACAGGGGTGGACGTCGCAGTTGTTCCAGTGAAGCAGGCGTTACACATACGTCAGCAACCGCTACGCGACGGAGTAGCGGCCTGGTGGGCGAGAGCCCACACCATCGCGAAGCAAGCAGTGAGGCATCGTCGGCGGCGAAACGGTGCCCTTCAACTTCAATCACTCAGCGCCGCGGCGCAGAGGCTGGCAGATCAACCTGTGGACGGCGCAGGGGCTACATTCGCGGGAGGATCGTCCTGGTCGTGGAAAGGAGTGCTGCGTGGGCTCAAGGGCGGGCCTCTCCGAGCTTTCCATCGAGGAGCTCGAGGCACTGGAGGAGGTCACCTTTCGCTCGGCGCGACGAGCTCAGAACAAGGCAGCCTCGGGTTCGCTGAGGAGTTTTCAGAATTGGATCTCCGACTCTGCCGGCGCAGTTCCTCGGTCGATCAAAGACCCCATGCCCGAGCAGGACGAGCTCCACGTGGACGGGTGCAGCCTCGCCCACCCCGTGGACATCATAGACGGGAAGGTGCAGCGGCGGCACTCGTTGTGGCAGTCCAGCGGCGCCTCCTACGAGGACATCCTTCAGGCGTGCGAGCTCATCCG